TATGAAAAACAAGGAAACATACTTCGGATATTCCCTTCATGCCATCGACGAGAACTGGGACTCGGGGGATGTAATTGAAATCCGCAAGCATCCTATAGACTATTCGAAGTCGATGCTCGCGTTCATGGGAGATGTTTGTGAGATAGGAGTGGCCATGGCGATGGATGCATTCGATACTATTGCCAGAGGAAAGGAGCTATCAAGAACAGCCCAGAAGACTGAAGCAAGCGGATATTATACTTTTCCCACGAATGAGGAATTGAAAGAAATTCGGCAGGATGGGATCCGATTGGTTGATGCTGAGAGCATTGTGAAGATTGTTGTGGAATCATTTGCACCCCCAAGGAACAGGCAAAATTCCGTACGTATATTGAAGCAGCTGTGCAGGATTGGTACCGCCAGAACCTGGCTTAGAATACATTCTGTTCTGAAGAAGACTTATTTAACTTTCAATATCGAATCATCCCTATGTCCGACATCAATTGGTAACTTTTGGCGCGCGAAAGGTGACGCAGGAGATTGTTGGCCGTATTACCGATACGTGGTGAATGGGACTTACCAAGACGAGAAGGCAGCAATCAGAGCAGCATACTTAAAAATATGAAAGACAACATGAGCTTATACGACTTCAGTGGGCGATGATACATGGTAAGGAGGTATGGTCCTGAGGGATGTAGTTTGTATTCGTAAAAGGAAGTGACTTGAATTCAGATACATAGTCATAGTTCCCATATCTCGAATGTAGATCAGGAACAGCAAGTTTCCAATACAAGAGCAGAATTGTATTTCTGGACCAATTCCTCAATCAACCTGGTCCCAGACCCCGTTCGCCATATTGAGGGCAATCTCACTGAACTGGTCGGGCGTCAGTTCGTGTGCTAGGGTGATCCGAATTGCATATGTTGTCGCAATGACCGAATCCAGCTCCAGTTTTCTATCCCCAACTACCTTCATGATATGACACAGGAGAGTCTCCATAGGAAATGGCCGTGATGCACGGTAGGTGCACTTGACGGTGTCAATATGCTGACTCCGAATGATGATATCGACCGCGGGTGGGCCCATAGACTCCTGATGATCGCCATCGGATGCAAGTTTGATCTCGCCGGTAGCGCGATCACAATACTTGCCATCCACAACTGGTGTTCGTTCCTCATCATGCCACCCAGGGGCGTGGAACTCCAGGGGATGGGTCGAGGACATAGTAGAGAAGAATTGGGATAAAATGTCTTGAGTATTGAGTTTCAGCGTAGGTTTAGTATGATAGTGTACTCCTTTGATGGGCTTTGTCTTATGTTGTGAAGATTTGGATGGAAAGTCTTGTTGTGAGGATGTGGATGGAAAGTGAGAGATGTGCGACAAGGATGCTTTTATATGCGACAGGGTGCGTGGAAATAGTTGGGTATATGCAGGAAGCCTGATTATGCCATGCAAGCCGGGAAGGGGTAGCATTCTAAGAGGGTTGGGTGCAAGAAGGGAGTGGGGGAAAGCCGGCTCTTTGGCAGGCAGCATTATAATCAACTCATAGCCACTCACATCCTTGACATGGGTGCTCAGCTTCTACGTGGAGGCTCTTTGTTCGCTATGGTACATGTAGGGGTATCATCTAACTAGTTAACTAACTAACTATTGGCGTAAATTAAGAAGATCACATTCTGAATTACATATTACATAGGACTCGATGTATTATTTCACGATGGCCAATCGGATGTATTGTAAAGACTGTATGATTGTGTTTGTCGAACTAGTAGTCACTTGCAAGTAAGGATAGACACCCATTCCCCATTTCACTTCCATCCGGTGGCAAAGTTACATGATGCCGCATTTCCTAAGGAGACCAAGTTAGGATTTCCATCTCAAGCCGTCATACAGACAATGGGTATTATACACAGAAACAATACTCACTACTATGCGTGGCAGCCACACTTGGCACACTGGCCGCCCGACTTCGCGAGAGACGAAGGGTCACAAAGATAAGTTCCCTTGCTGTCACATCGACAGCCATCTTTCTTCTTCCCGTTGGTGCAACGAGCGTCGGGGTGCAACCCCCCGTCGCACTTAATGGTGTACTTGGCGCGGGAAGCCAACTCGACCGGGTTCGGCTCAGGGCCGGCAACGGGATTGGCCATGGCAACGGTGCCAAGGACACTGGTGATGAGGACTGCGAACTGAGTGGGCTTCATGTTGAGGAGTTTGATAGTGTTTAGAGGAAACGATTTTGTCGATGTCCAGGTGTATGGGAGCGCCCTTCCATGACTTATATAAAGACAGGACCGGAGAGTCGGAGGAGACATTCTTCTACTTTTGGACAATACGGTCACCACGGCTGAGAGTACGAGAACACCTACATGTGAGTTAGGGCGCATCATGCATGTAAGAAGAGACGGAGTGACACGCTCACTAGTACGCCGTCGTAGCGACGTTTCATTAGCATGACATCTCCATTGGATAGTAGCAGATTGTGGTCGCCTAGCAAGCTCTAGGACGCAGCCTTGGTTTGCTTTTGCTCCTAGGGCTATCTATTATGCAGTCAGCCGTCACACCGTGGACTGACTCAATTTTGATGATAAAAGGTATTGCATAATCGGTGCTCCTTGCTTGCTAAGGCTTCGACTGTTATCGGTCCCCCATATCAAGCTAACTTTCCGTATAAGCGCAAAGAATATAAAGGGAAGGGTTGTGACATGAGTTCAGCTTTTGTCATAGAGCAGATAGGATGACTGTTCTTGAGGAGTCCATGGCCTGTGAACATGAAGTTGACATTAGGATCCACAAGGCAAACAACACGAGCTAAGAACCAATAAGGGCGGTGGCTTCCATAGACCGACAGGCCAATATTATGCACCGAGGATCAGTACGCCTTCGCAGCAGCCGCCTCACTGCCCAATTCTGTATACTACACAGTGCATACGGAAACCCCGGGTGCTAACCCCCAAGGAGTAGACATGCACATACTATTGGGCGCACCCCATAGCATAGGATCGGCCCGCCCCCCGAGTCCCATTACACTCCCCCAAAGCGGGGTCCAGCAACTCCCCTCGAGTAGCTGGGGGCGCAAACCCGTTGGAAAATGACGCAAATGACAAGAAAAGGCCACACTGGTCGCATCTTGAACGATTGATGCGGGCCAGAGGGAAATAGGAAACAAAGGACACGATCAACGAAAGGAGACCAACCAACAGGGTATCGTCGAGCGAATTACTCGTACAAGAAAGACGTCCCCGTTGGCCATGGTGCCCGGGTGCCAGTGGGCTATGACAAATGCACCAGAAGGATCGGCAAAAAAAGTAGTATTGTATAAGCTCATACACCGATCCTGACACCAAGACAGCCCAATCGGGTAGACTAGCAGCCAGATCCTTAGCCTGGATGCGTCTCAAAATTTAGTCAGGTGCCCCGGAAAATGGAAGCCTAGAAAGCGTTACATTTGACCTTGGTCAGGGGCTTCCCCATAACGGAATGATCGGCTGTCAACCCATTGTCCCTGGTGGCATTAGACCCAGCGCCCTGTAATATCAAACAAGACAAAAGTAGTTGTTGTGGTGGTGGCCTAAGGCCGCAATGTTTGTGTCTCAGGCATCAACCCCAGAGTTAGTCGGCAGATCCTCTCCCCACTTTCTGGCCCACAACTCTATAGTGGCCTCAACACTTTCACATACTGATATTTTTCCCTATCAAACGTGACCCTCGCTTGTCTTTGATGGGAAACGTATTGGTTCCGAATAATCTGGACGCCTATTTATGTGATTACTGCCAGGTCAATCGTCAGGTCTATATCATGGTAAACACATTTCCCTCCTGCGCATCTTCTTCTGACGTTGTCTAGGTAGACCCCCGTCTTGACAATGTGGCGAATGCCGTTATAATGGCACCGAATATCCCGGCTCGGAACGCTGCTCGGAGAACCTTCATAAGTGCTCGCAATGCCCTCTGTTCGGCTTTTGTTGTTCGAGTTGCACGACCACCGCCACCTGTACCACTACCACCGCCCCCGCCGCCCCCGCCGCCGACGATGTTCGAAGTGTGGAAAGAATGGTTTGATGGAGAGCCAGCGCAAGTCCTCGGTTAATTTGAGAACAGAGGGCATTGCGAGCACTTATGAAGGTTCTCCGAGCAGCGTTCCGAGCCGGGATATTCGGTGCCATTATAACGGCGTTCGCCACATTGTCAAGACCGGGGTCCACCTAGACAACGTCAGAAGAAGATACGTAGGAGGGAAATGTGTTTACCATGATATAGGCCTGAAGATTGACCTAGTAGTAATCACATTTATTGCCAGTTGGGGAGTTGACACAGCCTCCAGGAATCTTCCCGATCGAATTAACGCATCGCATACACCATGCCTCCGCGGGAGTCGTAGGTGCAGGGTTAAAACCCCAATTCGTGGTCCCATTGTTCAAAGCCATGTCGTAGAAGAAGAGCATAACGGCATGCTCCCTCGAAAAGGGGGCAAAAACAGCGTTTAAATAAACCTGTAGTCACAAAGAACCTCGTACTCGACAAAAAACCTCGCACTTGGCACGCCGAACGCCGGATAACAAAGAACAAAAACCTCGCCACCGCCGCAGAACCCGGCCAAGAAGCCTCGGAATACCACATTTAACAAAGAAGAACTACACCGGACAAAGGAGATAGGTTCATGGAGGAAAACCTAGAGCACGCCGAGGTCGACGAGCATTTTTGAAAGAGCAATACGGTACAGATTATTCGTTCACGGGTATTCACTCAGCCTTCATACATAGTCTACTCGTTCTTCAAATGGATTATTCTGTCTGTTCCCCTCGATCCTTCTCTCCTCGATTCGATAATTTACCACCTCGCCAATTCCTTGTCCTAGTGCCTCATCCTTGACCCACTTCTCCGGGGCTGCCTGGTTGTGATCGCTGCTCTGTTCTATCCTGGCTTGCTTCCCTGGTGACTGCAGGTGATGCGCCCTGTCCCAAATATCCAATGGTAAAAATGTCTCAATCCGTAAGCAAAGCATGTACCTCACTCAAATCTCAGCCACTCTTTAATTGAAGAAAAGGATGACTCATTAATTGACGAGCGGTTTTTCTCTCCTCCGGGAGCCAAGTAAGCATTCCGCGAATGAAAGACAAGAAGGTCTCTCTCTCTTCCTCTTCTAAGGACGGCATTGTACCTTCTAAACTCCGAGTGGGTACCAAATCTGGGTGAAGGAATTGGCCTGAATGAGTTAGCGAAAGGAGCAAATCTTTGTGTGATTAACAACTAACCTTCTCCATCAAAGAAAGGACCACCGAAGTATTCTCGAGCATTCCTACAGAGAATGCCGGACTCATTACAAACAGCTTGAGGCCAATGGTGTTGTGCCATGTAAATCTCCTTGACTATCAATTCTTTTGGGGGGGCCCAGTAGTGCGATCATTTCTGCCAGATGTGACTTGGCGTCGTATCGGCCATGCGTATCATGAACCTGCTCAAATAATTCTGTGCGTTCAAGAATATTCCACATCTGATTGAAGACAAAGTCAGCTTGGTGCATAAAGCTCACGTTTTAAGCAACATGCTGAGGATTAGCTTTTTTAAGGGGGTTTGAGAATGAAGGAATAAATTATGTACCATGACACCGAAATTCCAGATATCCGCACTGAAATCCCAACCACAGCCGAGAATTACCTCCGGCGCACGGTAGTGGTCCGGCTGTATAGGATATATACCTAATTTCCCTCTTTCTATATCATCCACCACGGACGGGTGGGCAAGGCGTGTCGACAGTCCAAAATCAGCGATTCTAGGCACCATATTTTTTAACTCTCTCCAGTCAAGAGCCCCAAAATCGTTATGGCAACGGTAGAGAATGCGGCCTGTTGTCGGATTGACTTTGCATTCCATAGGTAGGTCATGAGTATGTCGTTTGACAAACGAGGGAAGAACATTTTCGTTTTCAAAATTCATCAGGATATTCTCTAGCTTCAAGTCTGAGAGAAGTTTAAAACATTAGACCCAAGATCCAAAGCAATAAAGTGCGAAAATTTACTTGCCTGTATGAACCACTGCGCAGTCCGAGTGGAGGTGGTCAAGGCCAACCAGGAGGAAAAAGATATATGCCTTTGCGATCGGCAAAGGAAGCCTCTGGTCAACGAAACGGCGTTGAAGAACCCAGAGAGGTTCTCGCATCGGTTCATAGACCAAGCACAGGTGGTTCCCGTTAATACCCTTCACATCGAAACTCTCAAGGCAACATCGTAAAATCAAATGGCCGCGGTGAGATGGATTTTGTCGCGCAATGTGTTCCTCGATGTCCCTCTCATGGTACGCTTCGCGATCATGGTGGGAGTTTATTATTTTCAACGCGACCGTTCGTTCTGACTGCCACTGAAATCTTGATCGATTAGCTTAGTTACATGGTAAGCAAAATTGTTCAAACCTCGTAATGTCTCGAGCTAGCCAAACTGTCGACCGAGTTCCCCAACCAATCTTGACCAATAATTGATAATGACTAGCAAGAATGTCTCCGGGGCTAGCTGGATAAATGAGCCTGGGATCGTATTCTGGACAGATCTCCTCATCCACAAGTTCATGCTGAGGAATGGGGGGCCGGATATTGGAGGCAGGCGCCATATTGGCTTCCTTGCGATAGAGAGTATTGTGCGCTTCGCGAATTGATTCATCGCTCGCGGAGCTGGCGTGGAGGCGTTCGCACTTTCTCAAGATGTGCTGTGAAGAAGAAATGGAGATGCTTGAAAAGCGCACGTTTTGCGAGAAAGATTAATTTTTATAGGGATAACAAAGATCGGATATCTCCGGCGCCGACGGGAAGGTGATGACGACAAAGGGTGTTTTTAGTCCAGCGTGAGTGGAGACGCTTGGAGGGATGGCCGATGTTAGTAAGCCAAGTTATCGCTGCATGCTGCTTCTAACAGTACCAGTATTTCACGTGCAAGCTTCACTTCGCCGTAGGCACTTTTGGAGAAGACAACGGTACCATCAGGATACACGTGCGCGGACGTGACACGAATAGGCCCTTTTTGCAATATGATGGATGCATAGAAAGGATCGTCGGTTTTCAGTGTCGCATGAGGATTTCCCCTGATAATCTGTCAGACATATTCAATGTACATGAAAGATGATGCTTACTGCACGGTGCCAGTGTCAACTTTATCGGCTAATTGTGGGACGGCATCTATGGCGCTTTCTGCATAGCCTTGAGCCCAGGCGGTGTCCTAAGTAGTCCCGTTGAGAAGCCAGCCAAGCTTTTTGAGCTAGCGTAACGCAGTTGAAAAAGCACGTGACATTATTATGAAGCGTTTACTTCAATACATTTGGAGGTACTGGGTAAGAAAGACAATCAAAAGGTCTTTGATGAAGGTCTTCTGGTGGAGGTGGAAAATGTAAGTATTTATGGATTCTAGATCCTACTTAATGCGTCGGAATCTAGATATATGACAATTGGTTCTGCTTGTAATGTAGCTTGTATCTAGAATTTAAGCACAGCTCCTAGCCTATTATTAGGAGGGCGCTTACTGATTCACTAGAGGTATAAACCAAGCGATACGCCGAGAACGACGTCTCATCAAAACAATAATCATTAGCTAATAGTTACTACTGGGTTGTCGGAAAGAAGATGAAGGATGCCCGTTAGGTTCGACTGGTGCTGGCTGGATTATCGGCTGATAGTGATACAAAATCCGAAAATCGATCAGCGGCTTCTTCACGCATAGTGACCACTTGACCCAATGCAAGCAACATAGAGTTTCATACAGCGCGCGGCTAACAGGATGCTTACCAAAAAGGTGCAGATCCAATTTATGACTATATCTCTGCCTATGGACCCAATGAAAGAATTCATTGTAGCTAAAATTATATGTCTGCGGGGAATCTCTCGGGTGTACTAACACTGAAAGCACTTAAATGTTACCATTATACATCCAACCGATATGCTACTCTAAGGCGGAGAATGGAGATAAAAACGAACCAATCACTATTGTTCTTTGCAAGTAAGACCCCCTTGATTTCCCAGCTTTGTTTCGGGCGTTCTCACTGCCCTCTGACGACGTATATGGCTCCTGGAGAGGCTCAATAAACTTGCCACCCAGAGGCGGACTAGAGAGGGTGCGATACTCGGGCGAACCTTCATAGTATTACCCACCTTATGATGTTTCTGATCGTAAAACTTCAGAATAATGGGCCATTGTATGGTCCCAAGATAGCGAAGTCGTATTATGATAGTTGGGGAAACTGGAACTACGGGTCTGTCATGATGCAAGTTTTGGTGCAGACCCTCTGGCCTCCCTTCTGTGTAGATCCGTCAAGCTCAACTCTTGACCTGAACAACACAAGCTGGTCACCATCCCGCGGTCGCATTGATAGTCCAAGCGAAGCAGTTCCGGCTATGTGCAGCTCTGTGGAGAGACTGAGACGCTGCTCATCTTCGTAGGCCTAGTTAGTTACTATGTTGTAGTAACCAACTACAACATACCTAGGTAGTGACCTGGTGAGCTCCCTATTCGTTTTAATACATGGTGAATAGGACAAATTATCGTTGAGTGGGGCCTACCAACAGCGGTGCCACGATTATGTACGGAGTGTACAACATAACGTTACTATTTTTGTCTTTGATCACCTAACTACATTAGTTAGTTAACTGTTTCAGCCATGATGCAATTGCCCTTTCTCGAAGAATGTCCAGTGAGTAACTCATGGAATATACTTGTGTTAGGCTTTGCATCCTTCCCCAGATCATGAGCCCCTTGGCCCTGATCACCCTACTTGTTGCCCCTGGACGGGCCCCTAGTTGTGCAAGGCACAACCCTATTTACCCGATGCAGACATTAGGGCTGGCCCAAGCTCACACGACCAGGGAACTATGAAAGAGACATCGCATGCGGAGGAATGTACAGTAAATATGCCCCAAAAAAAAGAGAGACAAAGATAAATAGAATGAATTCAAGTCTTTTAATTTTATATTTGAATGCATTTGAATCTAATAATAAAATCGAATAAGAAGTTGAAAATAAAGAAGCCCCCAAAAATAAAAAGAAAAAAATAGTTGGGTGTTCCAGAACTGTCCTCACCACGGATCCAAGAAACCCTAGAGACGAGAACATACCGCGTCATCCCCTTACTTGACTTCTTCCTTCCTACACTTCACTACTATCGTAAGTTGATTTATATATCTCCATCTTTCATCTTCTGACCAGCCCAGAATCACTTCAATCTCAACAATGGCCAAGAAAGCAGGAAAGAAGAACAAGAAGGGCAGCAAGCCCGCCGCTGCCGTTGTAGACAACGTCAAGGATGTGATGTAAGTTGAAAAAAAAATTCAACTTTATGCCACATCACCTAATTGATTTAGTGAACCCGATCACGAAACCGTCGACGAGACCAACCAAACCGAAGGCCGGACTGAAACTGCGACACAGCCTACCGAGACCGTCGCTGAGCCCACCCCGGCGACCGAGGCCCCCGCAACTGAGATCCCAGCTGTGGCGGAGACCAAGGAAGTGGAGACCAAGGAGGCTGTGAAGGCCGAGGAGGCTCTCGCGACAGAGAACAAGGGTTCAGTGGAAGAAGCCGTGGAGAAGGCGCGGGCCTCCAAGGCCGGCCTACTGGGCGAATTGGAAGGTGGCGCTGCCGCAGGCACTGGTATGACGCGTGTTAGCTTAAAATGCGACAAGGATTTCAACTAACCCGGAAATCTGCAGCTATCCTCCCGGAGACGACCACTAAGGAGCCCGTTCCCTCGATCGCCACGACCGGTGTTTCTGAGACATTGGCTGAGCGCCCCAAGACCGCGGAATCGACCGACGTCCCTGCTGTCGTTGCGCCCGTTCCTATCGCCGCTCCCGTCGAGCCCGATGCTGCCCACACCAAGCGCCCGTATGAGAATCCCATCTTCAACAATGAGGAGAACCTGAAACCCCACAAGATGCCCAAGACCGATGAGGAGCCGCTTGGCGCTAGCGTGGCGGAGGACAAGAAGACGGTTGAGACATTGGCCGGTGCTGGACCCGCTTCCACTGCTGCGTTCACAACCCCTGAGCCTGTGCCTGTTCAGGCCGAGGAACCTAAGGCTGCTGAGACTCCTGTGGTTGCTGAGACACCCAAGGTTGTTGAGGAGAAGGCCGCTGAGACTCCCGTGGCTGCCGAGGCACCTAAGGCTGTTGAGACACCCAAGGTTGCCGAGGAGAAGGTCGAGACTCCTGTGGTTGCTGAGGAGAAGAAGGTCGCTGAGACTCCCGTGGTCGCTGAGGCACCTAAGGCCGTAGAGGAGAAGGTTGAGGCACCTAAGGCTGTCGAGGAGAAGATCCCTGTCGAGTCCGCCCCCAAGAGCACTCCTACTCAGACCGGCACCGGCAAGCCTACCTCCTCTCCCGTAGCGATCGCCGCCGCGAACGCTGCCATTCTCTCTTCCAAGGGCGATAAGGCCGCTCCCCCGGCTGCCGCCACAGTCGCCGCCAAGGAGACTGAGCCCAAGAAGCCTGAAGCTGCCCTGAAGCGTGGCGAGGAGCCCCTGCCTAAGGCTGAGGCGCCCAAGCCCCAGACCAAGGCAGAACCTGTCAAGGAGGAATCTGGCAAGGCCCAGCCAGAGACCCAGAAGACATCTGAGCCCTTAGCAGAGCAGGTCGAGAAGAAGAAGGGCGGGTTCATGTCCTGGTTGAAGCGGAAGTTCAAATGAGTAAATTAATCTCTGTGGGGAGTGAGAGAGCCGGTGTATGATATACGCTGCACGCTAGTTGGGGGTGTGGGGGCTTGTCGGCGACCTCAGGTTGCCTTGGGCTTTTGTTTTTCCTTTTGTTTTTTTTTTTCTTTCTTTTGTCAGGCTTTGATGATACACCAGTTCAAATTATATATCAGAATCAGAATTATAGTGCTTATTATTTGTGTCCTGGGGGTCTTGTAATGTATAATTAAGGAGTTGGGTATTGGATCATTTCAGACTTGTTGGGTTTGGGCATGTTGTCTGATGTACACCGCTAGTCAGGCGTCAATGCGTAGCTAGTTCCAGATGAATAACTTGATCGTCTCTCTACCTTTTCCTGGCGAATTAGCATTTTTGTATCATCGCCCTACACTCAAGCTCATCATTTTCGCAGACCCCGGTTTCACCACCTCCCTCCTCATGATGGGTTGCAAATGAAATACAAAAAAAAAACCGAGGCAAGACAACATCAAGGACACCAACTTATGACACCCGGTACCCTGATGAAGGGGGTGACTAGTCTGATGCCAGGTAGCGAAGCCGACTCACTAGCTCTGATATGGCTTTATGTCACAAAGTGGCCTTGTTTGCTTCGACGCCATGGTTCTGGTCCTTGCAGAGGCGTTGCGTTCAGTGTTGACTGGAAAGTTTCTAGTTATGTACAACATACAATATAGTGGATTGGATATTCCTCATCCGGGCATCCGTGAGGAGTCACATTCAGGGGTCATTAGAGAAACATGGACCATTCGGCGTCATGGTGGTATTGAAACGCTACTTTAACTAGTTCTTGGTCGGCGTGCTATGTAAAGCAAGAACTAAGCTGATTCCTATGTTGCTCCGAGTTAAATAAATTCACCTCAAATTGAACGATAAAGATGATTATGATCTGTAGATGTTCAACATGGGTACAGAATAAGAATAGGATCCAGTCATGTCTACGGGTAGATCCCATACAAGCGGGGTTCCCGCAGGTTACCCGTCTTGTGCCTCGGTAAGCTTCGAAGGCATATAAAACTGGAGGATGGGATTCAGAGAAATTCTACATTCCTCCCATATTTCTACTCGAGTTCTTCAAAATGACATCCCTTCCACGTAAGATATGGGAACATCCAGCCCCAGAGTCGACCCAGATGGGTCACTTCCAGCAAGACCTAGAGAAATCCACCGGACGCAAGTTCGACGTGAGTGAAGATAGCCCATGTAAAGGATAACTACTATATTGTCTAACTTCCCCCACAGTCTTTCCATGAGATGTACCTGTATTCAGTCAAGAACCGTTCGGCATTCTGGGAATTCTGCTGGAAATACTTCCAACTGATCCACGAGGGCTCCTACACCAAGGTAGTCGATGAATGCGCTCGGATGGACAGCGTGCCAGAATGGTTCACCGGCGTACGTCTGAACTTCGCCGAAAACTTACTTTTCTCGCGCGTTGCTGGCGACAAAACAGACAAGGAAGACGACAAGATTGCCGTGAGCGAAGTGCGAGAAGGCGCGGCGCATGAAGTTGTCCATCTTACGTGGGGTGAGCTCCGACGACGGACTGGAACGCTGGTCCAGGCTATGAAGGCCCATGGGGTTGTTCGGGGTGATCGTATTGCTCTCTGTGCAGCAAATAGCATTGATACGCTTCTTGTGTTCCTGGCGTCCACGGCTCTGGGAGCTATCTTCTCGTCCAGTTCTACGGATATGGGTACTAAGGGTATTCTGGATAGACTGCTTCAGATCAAGCCTCGTTGGCTGTTTATGGACGACTTGGCTGTTTACAGTGGGAAGAACATTGACTTGCGACCGAAGATTGGGGAAATTGTTCAAGGCATGGAGTCTGATACTGAATTCGATGGGGTCATCGTACTACCTCGATTCTCTTCGCGGCCGGCGGATATCAGCTCCATTCCTAGGACTAAGACTCTGGCGGAGTATCTCGCAAAGGCGGGCGGCAACGAGAAACTTGAATTTGAAAGAGTTGGATTCCGTGATCCTTTCTTGGTGGTTTACTCGTCTGGCACGACAGGGCAGCCGAAGTGTATCGTCCATTCTGTGGGTGGTGTGCTTCTAAACTCCATGAAGGAGGGCATATTGCATACCGAGTTCGGGCCTGATTCTGTCGCCTTGCAATACACAACCACTGGATGGATTATGTATATGTGTGCCGTACAGACTTTGCTCTTTGGTGCGCGGGTGGTGCTATATGATGGAAGCCCATTTATTCCTGGCATCACTGCTTTGGTTGATCTTGCAGCCCAGGAGAAGTAAGTCTTCCTCTGATAGCATTCTACGTTGTATAAGTTCAGGCTAATCAATTACAGGGTGACCCATCTTGGAATATCACCCCGGTGGCTGCATGAGTTACAGCAGGCCAAGATCAAGCCCCGTGAGAAAGTTGACCTCAGCTCTTTACAGGTTGTTACAAGCACTGGTATGGTGCTGCGGGATGCATTGTTTGAGTGGTTCTACGATGAAGGGTTCCCATCCCATGTTCGCCTGAATAATATTTCTGGCGGCACTGATATCGCAGGATGTTTTGGAATCGGCAACCCTCTTGCCCCCCTGTATGTTGGCGGATGTGCCGGATGCAGTCTAGGTATTCCCGTGGAGGTTTACGATTCAACAATTGAGGGGGCGACGGAATCAAGGGTGAGCCTGTGGAGGAGGGTATTCCGGGCGAATTAGTCGCCACGTCTGCTTTTCCCAACATGCCCACCATGTTGTGGGGTGACGAGGGCGGCAAGAAGTACCACGATGCGTATTTTGGGAGATTCGATAGTGGGCCCACCCCCTCTTCCCCTCTTCATGTGCCTGTTTGTATGGTCACTAATTCTCTACAGGTGTGTGGACACATGGCGACTTCGTTTCCATCCATCCAATCACAAAACAGATCATGTTTCACGGACGCGCCGATGGGGTCCTCAACCCATCGGGTGTGCGGTTTGGATCGGCCGAGATCTATCGGGTACTCGAGGGTCAATTTTCGAAAGAGATTGTTGACTCCATATGTGTTGGTCAGCGACGACCAACAGATATAGACGAGCGAGTCATGCTCTTTTTGCTCCTGAAACCAGGGGTAGCGTTTACGCCGGACTTGGTTGCACGAGTGAAAAGCGCGATCCGTACAGAGCTGAGCCCCCGCCATGTGCCGATGTTCACGTTCGAGACACCCGAAATCCCGGTATGTACTTTTGTAACCAAAACGAGACCTTTTAAATCGGGACTGACCCACGTATATCATCACAGACCACAGTCAACCTCAAGAAGGTGGAACTTCCTGTGAAGCAGATTGTTTCGGGAAAAATCATTAAGCCATCGGGGACACTTCTCAACCCGAAGTGCTTAGACTTCTACTATCAATTCGCCAAAGTGGAAACCTTGCGCCAGAGCAAGCTCTGAGTGGACTCTTGGGCCTCTTCGCATTTCATGTGTCTCCATACAAGAGGGGGCAGACCGGGTCCATCGGGATCGTCACTTGTCTCTGCCAAGCTTTGACCAAGCTTTAGCAACACCGAGATCGTCTTGGAGGGTTTTGATACGTGATACATAGTAGAAGGGAGAAATTAGATTAAATTAGGTAGAGGAATTAAAGATTATAGCATTGGAAGGAATAAAGTCGATGTAGAAGAAGTGTAGAAGAAGGAGGAGGAGGAGGAGGTATAGTGATGGGCTGATGAAGTCGGTGCGTGCACTGCGTCATTAGATGTCGCCCCCGCACGTGAACGGGTTGTCTGTCTATTTATCACTTCTCAGCTTCGTCCCTCTCCTATTCCTCAATTGTTGACTGCTGTTTGTTCTTTTATTTGTCTTTTATCTTTTGTAGTTCATCTTTTGTCATTTATTCACAATTATGGTCCATCTCGCCAAAATTAAGAAGGACAATGAGGTCCCCTCTACTCGTGACATTGACTCCATTCCTCCTCCTGAAATAAGTGACTATGACACCAATGTCTACGGCACTCACTTTGCCGCCGATCATGTGACTCAGCATGAAATGCCAGAGCGAGAGATGCCTCGCCAGGTTGCCGCTCGGATGATCAAGGATGAGCTCAGTCTGGACGGTAATCCCAAGCTCAACCTCGCCAGTTTCGTCACCACGTACATGGAGGATGAGATCGAGGAGATCATGACCGAATCCTTCAGCAAGAACTTCATTGATTACGAGGAATATCCTCACTCCGCCGAGATCCAGAACCGATGCGTGAATATGATTGCTAGACTCTTCAACATTCCCACTGATCCCAACAGTGAGAATGCTATGGGTACTTCAACCATTGGGTCTTCCGAGGCAATTATGCTGGGAACACTAGCTATGAAGAAGCGATGGCAGAACAAGCGCAAGGCCGAGGGCAAGGATTGGTCGCGCCCCAACATTGTGATGAACAGTGCTGTCCAGGTCTGCTGGGAAAAGGCTGCGCGTTACTTCGATATCGAGGAGAAGTACGTCTACTGCACTGAAAGTCGATTCGTGATCGACCCCAAAGAGGCAGTCGATTTGGTAGATGAGAACACAATCGGTATCTGCGCTATCCTGGGTACTACCTACACCGGTGAATACGAGGATATCAAGGCGATCAACGATATATTAGTGGAGCGTAACATCGACTGCCCCATTCACGTTGATGCAGCTAGTGGTGGGTTTGTCGCTCCATTCATCACCCCTGAGCTTGAGTGGGACTTCCGTCTGGAAAAGGTGGTTTCCATCAACGTCTCCGGTCACAAGTATGGTCTGGTCTACCCCGGTGTCGGATGGGTCATCTGGCGCTCTCCTGAGTTTTTGCCCCAGGAATTGGTGTTCAACATCAACTACCTTGGAGCTGACCAGGCCAGCTTTACTCTGAACTTCTCTAAGGGTGCTTCCCATGTAATTGGACAGTACTACCAACTGATCCGCCTGGGTAAGCACGGTTACCGTGCAATCATGACCAACCTGACTCGCATAAGCGACTACATGTCTGCGGAGTTTGCAAAGATGGGCATGGTCATATTGAGTGAGACACATGGCCGGGGTCTGCCACTGGTGGCCTGGCGTCTTCCCACAAATAACGGTCGTGTCTACGATGAATTTGCCGTGGCCCACCAGCTACGCGAGCGAGGCTGGATCGTGCCTGCTTACACCATGGCGCCTCATAGCGAGAAGCTGCAGATGATGCGCGTTGTCATCCGCGAAGACTTTAGCATGAACCGATGTGACAACTTGATCCAGGACTTCAAACTTGCTATCGAGACTTTGGATGCTATGGACAAGTCCATGATTGCCAAGTACAAGACGTAAGTTCCTTCTGTTCTAGATGTTTCTATTTTCATACTGACAGCCCCACAGGCATATGCAAAGCCACCGCAACCACCCTCGGCACCAGTCGCGTGTTCACTCTCACTACATCGGCGAGAAACACTCGCTGCAGGGCAAGGCTGGCAAGACACATGGCGTGTGTTAGTTTCCCCATGTTCCTATGACAGCATCCAACTCATTGGGTTGGTATCTAGTCGTAGCATATACACCACGAAATTTAAATGTATAAATCAATGAACGCGAGGTCACTGGCCTTGCATAAGTTAGAGCTTTCCAAGGCACTACAAGGGACGGCCCAACAAGTGCTGATTCAGTACAGCAAATATATAATCCCGATCCACTATGATAACTACGACGTATTTGCGAGCCCACTGGCAGATTTCAGGTGGACTCATAGAGGTAGTGGGTTTATTGTAGAGATCAATATTACTTTCGAGTTATAGAATAGGAGAGCCTAATAGTAAAGCATTGAGATTTTTTATCTACATACTCCGTACTCTCTCTGTACGCGTGTCTGTGCTTGAGCTCAGCCCTGGACGCGTTGGTCCGGGGCTGAGAAAAAGGGCTCCATCACATATTTCGAGTGCACCATTCTTGGTATGGAGAATGACACTTCATACGAGAATTATAATTTGCTTCGCCATCGAGAGCGGATCCCAATTTTTTATTTTTTTATTTTTGCATGTGGTGGGGAATTTGGGGGCGATTTATAACCGCCTGTATATGGCTTATATTCCTTTCTCTTTATCAAAAGTATCCGACTTTGAATAACCGATATAGGAAATTGCAGGGCTGTTCTTTCAAGTCTTTAAATACTACAATTAAGGATGACTTGGTGAATGGATAGCCAGAAACAGCCGCTTTTGACGATGTTTTAAGCTCTAACTATATATATACTTAGGCGAAGAGTAGACTCCGATACTCACTGGTATCTCTCGACAAGGCTATCTATAGCTCCATATTGGCCTTGACATACTCCGTAGTATCTATAGTAGTATCTATAGTTATAGGACACGCTAACTTACGAAAATGTAAGGTCTTTGAGTGGGACTACATCCATTGTTTATCCTTCCCCTATATATAGAACAACCGCTCCAATCATCGTCCGTCAACCCCAGGTCCACCAAATCAGCCTCTTCCCCTCTCTTTCCCTCCCCCTCCCCCTCCCCCCTTTTTTTTTTTGTTTTTTTGTTTTTTTGTTTTGGCTCAAGATCAGAAGCAGTGATGCGCAACCTTTTTAAAAGCAAGTCGCCTTCGAATCGGACAAGTCATCATTCTATGCGCAGCGCCGAACAGTTGGCCCGCCCCGCGTTTGCTCCACCGGACCCCAACATACCCAACGATTCAGACCGGCGCTTTTCACAATTCGAGTACTCGACTGGTCCTGTACAGAATCAGTCACAGACTCTAAATCGGTCACAAAGTCAACGTCAGAAACCTTTGACTGACAATTCGAACGTCAACGTTGTCGCCGACGACTCACAGCATCGTAAAAAGGGCCGTGTCGAGCGCAGTATCTCTGTCAAGGGGAAAACAATCTCTCTTCCCATCTCACAACCCACCTCACCTGAGATTTTACATCAAGAGACCCTAGACGAGTCTGACGAGCATCCGACACATCTCCGGCCTATCTACGCGGAGAACCCATCGGCTCTGGCACCACAATCTCTCGCCCACCAACAGCAATACCAACAGCTTCAACGAGGTCCCCGACCTTCCCATCCTGCTCACGCCCAAGATAACCCCGAGCGGACGAAGCAACCGGTGCAACCCCTTTATACCAAACTCCCGCGGTCCACCACCGACCCATCTCTGCTTGAACAGTACGTCCGACCGTCGCCCACCGATATTGTCCCCGAATCACCACGCTACACGGAACATCTTCATCGGGGACAGGCTTTTTCCTTTGCCCAGGATCCGGTATTGAATATCCGGCCCCCATCCCAGCAGTCTGACGAGCCGCTTTCCCCGTTACAGTCCGTTTATCCTGACGCCATGCAGTCTTCCGCGCAGGCATCACAGAACCAGGGTCAATCTCAGCAGCTGGACAGACAAAAATCGGCAGGTTCTCCGCAGCAAGATCGGAGTCGGCAGGGTAGTGTGTCAAACAACATGCCTGATCCCGGACGGAGCACACCCACCAATATACACCGCCGCGAAGATTCCGGGGAAGTGGACGTGCGGGCATTGATCCAGAAGCATGATGAACTCCGTAAGGATTTTTTAATTTTTAATTTTGAATTTTGAATTCGAGGGTTGATTTTTGATAACTAACAATAAACAGAGGCCAAGTATTCCAAGGTGAAACGATACTACTTTGAGAAAGATGCGCAAGTTCAGCATCTCCAGAACACGGTCGCGCACCAACGTATGGCGGTGTCGCGTACCGTACTTGACGATAATGAATATACCAACCGATTCCAGCGACTTGACGGAGCGATTAAAGACCTGGCATTCTCCGTGCGCAAATATTGGCGCAGTATTCCATCGTGGCTGAATGGAATGGTCACCGACGATGCTTTATCGGTCGGCACGAAAGAAATGACCGCGGTTGGACGGGCGGTACTCAGCCGATGGCTAGTAGAAGAAGTATTCCAGCGTTATTTCCATCCATCCTTGGATCCAGCATTTAGCGTGCAGCTGAAGAATGTCGAAATGAACCTGCGACGGCAGCGACCGTCATCCGAAGAAGACCGTGATAATGCCTCCGCGAGACTTTCTTACTGGCGCCGCACGACCTTCGACGGACTGAGTGATTCCTTAGTCGGACCTGAAGCCCAGCAACATCGCGTTGAGCTAGTCGAGCATCTAATCGTGGAACTCGCTGCCTTCATGGGATCCCAGCTGCATGAAATTGCATTGCCGGATCTAGAAGCAAGCGTGCGCATGATCATTGAGAACTCTATCAACATCATCGAGAAAATCCCCCTCGAAGCCCGCGATGTCTGCGTCGATTACTTCCCACCGGGTATCTCCCTCGCTGAGCAATACATGAAGGTCGAAGGCCAACTACCCGCACTGAGCCACCCGCCCCCACCACCCTCAGACCAAGAGCAGCTCGAGGAGCCTACCGCGACAGAGGGAGATGCCTCATCCAGCTCAACCG